ATTTGTTTCCTTTTTCTTTCTTTCCTTTTTCCTTTTCTTTTTTTTTTTTTTTTTTTTTGCAAAATTAACAAGAGTTTAGAATATCGATAATTTTTTTTGAAATCTTTCGTCATAAATATACGTGTCGATTAATCTCACATTTTTGCACCTATTTTCAATCAAGCGTCGAGTTCTCTGTTACATCGATGCAAAAATTCTTCTAACGAACTTTCTAAAAGTGATAAAGCACTTTTTTCGTCTCGAGCAAGTTTTGTTTCTTTTTCGTTGCATCGAGTCATTTGCTCGTTAATGATTCATCATTGTTGTGACAATGCAAATAAGCACCGCTGTTGCTTATTTGCTCGTCTTAGAAGTTCGTAAATTAACCGAGAAATTGCATTTATTGCAGTCGCTGTGATCTGGGTGTCCCGAACAGCAGGGTTTAATAAAACCGTGTAAAGATCTTTAGAAAAAGTTAAACGCTGAAACGCCGCTTCACAATGTGATGACAAATCATCTGGCCATCGACAACATCAACAAACACCTTTTGTCGCATTAGGGATGTCATCCGTCATTCGAAGGGAAGAACGTTGCGCAATATTGCGCTGACTGCTAGAAAATAAGCTCGATTACTACTGTGGATGTTCTTCCTTTTCTTCTGGTCCTTATTTTCACGAGCTTTTGCTGCAAAACGGCCTCGTATCCCTTAAACCTTTATTCGGGATATAGCTGCTTGAACTGTCGTAATATCGTACAAACAAAATCATAAAACAATAAATCTAGACTCATTTCTAGAAGCCTTTCCTTCCGTTTCGAGGCTTACCCGTTCGTTTCATCCCCCCCGAGAGGTGTTTTTACGCGTTTCGTCGCGTGGAGGACGCAAAAACACCTCTCTTCTCGGAAATGTTGGAAACTGGACATGGACACCTAACATTTCCGAGGAGAAACATTTTTCAATCGAGAGATTTTCCTCCAGACTGAATCTGATCGATCGAGTTTTAAAGCACGAGCTGTCCAATCTTTCACATCTTCTGGCCCTCAAAAAATTGTCGCACACGAGTTTTACATATTTCTTTTTTTTATCAATTCAATGTAACCAATATTATTTACGAGGATTTACAAGAGAAACGAGGATTTAGAAGAACAACTTTTACAAGTGAAACGATACACTGATTCGAAAAATATGAAAATTTTTAATCAAAACACTGAGCTTTTTTTTCTTTCTTTTAATTCATCGATGTTCGGTTTGATACAGGCGGTGGCATTACGAAGAGTATTTTCAAGATGCTCGTTTAAAATTCTTGTTCTCTTACTTTTTGCCTGCTTCGTATTGGGGAAAAATCTGCTCGCAAAATGTAAATGCTTTTCAAAAGGGACGTCATGAACATTCGAAATTGATGGAATTTGGATTAGTGGAAAAACACGCGTGTCCAGTAAACAGTGAGAAAATATATATTTATTGAAAGACTTTGCGTGGAACGTTCTTTACAAGTTGTTTGATCAGAAGAAGAAATGCAAGTGAGCACGTGGAGTTGGCGTAGCAGGAAAGACACCCCGATAGTAACGCCACAGCGGAACAACAACAGAAATAGGGAAAATAGTTAAAAATAAGTGGCGAGCTTGTTCCTAAAGGTCAAAATCATTCAAATAATAAAATTTTTATTCAGTTATTCCAATTTTTAGACATTTTGAAGCCTCTTCTTCCCAACTTGATCGTATGACTTTTGTTTTCTTCTTCCGTATTGTGAAGAAATGTCGAATATCAGAAAATGCGAAAAAAAAACGCGTGATTTCTTGTGAATTTCCATCGTCCAAGTCTATTTTGCGATTTAATAATTAAATATTTAGTATCCGAATATTAATAGAAATCCTAATTGGATTTCCTAAACCTCTCTTCTCCTACGAACAAATATTTCCTACGAACCTGAAAAGAACTGTACGATCCAGAGAGAGAGAGAGAGAGAGAGAGAGAGAAGAACGAAAGGAACACGTCCTTGACGATTGAATATTCTAGAAAAAGAGTGAAAAATGGAGACGAGAAAATGTATTCGTAGACAAAGCGGTTTCCAAATAGGAAAAATCAATATTAAGACAATTTGTTGCTGTCGGCCGGAAGTTGTCATTTAAGCTTGATTTACGAGAGATTAAGCCAACATAATCGGCTTTTCAGATTATCAAGCCAACACGATCTATGAACTATTATATTCGATTGCATTTCGATTTTGTACGTTTTAGTTATCATCGATTTGAACAAGTTACAATTAAGTTGGCCCACCAGCAAAATTCTAATTCACTTCTTGATTCAAATCTTTTATAATTACAACATTACATGAATAACACATGAATTTAAATTATCGTTTGTCCTTTGCCAATGAGACTCTACCCAAGTTGACTGTATTTTCTCATCGTCTGTTAAATTGGAAATTTATAAGCGAAAATTAAAACATTATTCTGTCTCGTTGAAAAAAATTTCGATCGAAGTTTAAATTTCAATTTACGCAATTTATATTCGAGGATCGATTGAAGGGTTTGTTGATATTTTTCGTCTCGCAAGAGCGTACGATAGCGAATCAAACGAACAACGGGATGTTACATAGATTCGTCACGCAGCAGGGGGCAAGTTACTTTATTGCTTGGTCGTAACAAAATCATACATATTTAAGAACAGTATAACAATTATAAACTGCACCGGCGGCGAGTAATAAATCACCGTGAAAATGATTTAAAGCCATAACTTGGAAACCACGACTTACCGTTCTCTGCGATTAAGATCGATGATTATCATTTATTACGTTTACACATGTATAATATATAATGTACTGCATGTAATTCACGGACAATTTCACTCGGCTGTATACTATTTTTCGAGCAATGATAATCAAGATATCCACCGCTTATCAGTGTATAGTGCTCGTATATTTCTTTCGAGTGACTCGAAACTCGTGTTCCTCGCGTGTACGTGATATACCCGCTGCGCGATATACACTTGTTTCCCATCGAATTAATCTAACAAAGCTGTAGGCACAGTTCAGCTGTTAGCTACTATTGAAATTTACGAGTGTAGATTGTATCTGCTTCGGAATTGATTTGTTAGATACTATTTACTTTACATTCTCGCTGATAGCGAGATTTCAAAATTTCTACGAGCCTCCTCGCCGAGCGAATAGGGATAATAATGATTTCAGTGTCTCGTACGATCGAGCATAACATTTTATTTAACATTTTCTATCACGTACTTTGATTCGCGCTAAGAAAACATTTCTTTTTTTTTTTTTTTTTTGAGGAACGTATTTAACAAGCAACGAAATGAAACAAGACAGAGGGAAGTGTTTATTTTTCCATTTAATGTATCACCTTTTCTACCCAATTATGGCAATAAAGGAAAGTTGGTAAATTTATTAACGTCCAATGGATAAATTAGAAGAAAAGCAGAAGAAGAAATTATTATAATTTATAATTTAATATTACAATTTAAACGATAATAATTAAAACATGGTTCTGGTACAGTTATATTTCTCGATTTAAACAGAAATCGACGTTGATTTTGATTCAGAATTAAATTATCTGACTGAATTAGGTTCTTAAAAATTGGACGTAACACGAATTTGCGTCGCACGATAGGAAAAGATGAGAAACTCTTTTTCTAGGCGCTTTATATTTTAAACAATTAACTCCAAGACGTTGGCATGTTGTTATTCGCTGTGACCTTGAGCGGTCGTTTATCTGCGAGCCTGTTTCTCCTAATTCTTTTTTTTCAGAGAGAATGTCCCGTATCGAGCATCTAAAAATCGTCCGTTTTTTTCTATTGTTTCGATCGACAACCATTCAATTACTATTATCGTCTACGTTGCTTCTTTCCCCCCCTTTTTTTTTTTAAACTTTCAAAATGATCGCAGAACAATATCACACGAAACGGAGGGGAAATTCAAACTCAACAAAACTACCAAAATGGTCAAAAATGGCCATTTTAATATTTTTGTGAAATATCTTATAGATGTGCAACAGTGTATTTGGCGATTCGAATGATTCTTCGTAAAATACATAAATAAGAGCTTATTATAAAGATTTTCTGTTTCTTCAACGTCTGTGATGGAAATTTTCCGTCATTTCATTTTAGTCGTCAATTCTAGTGTTCTAGCGTTAATATCAACCTCTCAAGTCAGCGTCATTTTTACAGTCGTTTAGGACACTTGACGAACAATACAATGCAACATTACAAACAACTGTATTCCGGAGAAATACCAAGGAAACATTCTTCCGTCAATTTATCATTCGTTCGTAAGGAAATTAAACTGCAAGCCTTTAGAAACACTCTCGAAACGATTTTCTTCATCAAAAATCTTACATCCTCCTCGAACCGAACAGCGTTGTCAAACCGTTGGACCGCGAGCGGAAATCATTTTTCAGCGAAACCCAACGCTAATAGATATACGATCTCGATCTAACAATAAGCCGTGGCCGAATCGACTTTCTCGCGAAGCAGCGAGAGATTTTCATAGCGAAGAAGTCCCGAAGAGCCGCGCAAACACGCGAGAGAGATTCTTCTTCCACCGGATAAATTTCCATAACTCGTCCGAGCGCTGGTAAACGGCGACAGGTGCGAAAAGAAAGAAAAAAAAAGAAAAAGACAGAAAGAAAAATGCTGTCTAGTTCGGCCGTTCTCGTGTTCGCGAAAACTAGTGGGGATTTTCCACCGATTTTATCATCCAACGACAGTTTCCGCCGGGGTCGGGAGCTTTGCTTGACGCCATTACAGCCCAATGCGAGCCATACCGTTCGCTGACTGGCTGCAACCTGGCAACGAGAAGGGGAAAAGACCCGACCGTAGGCGTTTCCAACCGTGTTTATTTCTTCGCAAGCTTCGTTGGGGATAGCCAGTCGTGCTTTAAATTTCGTGGAGCATTCAGTCGGGATCGTCATTGCCATTGCCAAGGCAATCTAGTGAACTAGTTGCGAGAAAGTTTTAGAATATTTTCCTGGGGATCGAAAAATCCTCCAGTGATATCCTCTTCCAGTGTTTGCATTCCACACGTGCGATTCGCGTACGATTGATAATATAAAAAAATACTGAGATGATCGAATGTGTGTATAACGCGTGCCGTATATTAACGTTATACGACATCTTAGTTCCATAGATGCTAATAGTGACGAAAAGGATTCTTCGAACGGCAAATTCTTGCAGGACGACGAAATAATTCTTGCCGAGACACAAGATTCGATAAGAGATATCGTTTGTTATAGGCATTGTCGTCGACTGGCATTCGTGGATAGAAAGATTTTCAAATACGCGCGGCGTGGTTCGTTGACAGATTCGTCAGACAGATCAAACAGCGTAGAACAATGACGAACAACCCACCGAATTCAGAAACGCCGGACGACGCGGATAACGTTGAAATGATGCCATACTACAGCCCGGTAGTGATGTACCAACAGCAGCAGAACGTACAGCAACAGAACGTACAGCAGCAGAACGTACAGCAGCCGCTGGTACAGCAAATGCCAGAGCAAGAGCAGCTTGGACAGGGCCAACAGCAGCCCAACACTGCCAACAGTGCTTACAATACTCAGTACTGGTACAACTATCAGCACCATGGCCACTTGCACCCACCACACCAGCCCATCTATCCTCAGCAATACCTAAATCCAGTCGAAGTGATACCTGGTTATAGTTACTCGCAAAATCATCCGTACGCCGCCCATTTGCAACACCAATATCAGGTCCAGCAGGCGCATACGCTCATGCAAGCTGCAGCTTCCGCCATTCCGGCGTGGAACAACGGAGGGCGGCCGCAGTTGGTCAATCCTGAGGAGCCGAGTCCTTCGAACACCAGCAATACCAATGGCAGTGATGATCCTACTTCCACGCCGTCTACTAGTTCGCCGACAAACAACGCCGGCAAGCGAAGTAACACCAGCACGTCGTCCAACTACAGCCCTACTAGCAGCAACAGCGGCAACAACAGCACGAGATCGGCGCCAACGTTGCAACCGTCGACATCGGCGTCAATGTCGGAACCGTCGACGTCGGCGTCAATGTCGGAACCGTCGACGTCGGCGTCAATGTCGGAACCGTCGACCTCGGCCTCAATGTCGGAACCGTCGACATCGGCGTCAATGTCAGAACCGTCGACATCGGCGTCAACGTCGGAACCGGCGAGATTGGGGAGATCGGCGAGATCGGCGAGATCGGCGTCACTACGGCAGAACCCCTACGAATGGATGAGAAGACCTTCGTACCAAAGTCAGTCGACTAATCCAGGTAATACAATCGATCAGATACTCTTTGTTTTTTTCTTTCCAATCTAGTTGCATTATATAGTCTGCTGTTGTTACAACGAAAGTTAGAAATTTCGATGTCCGATTGTGCTTCGATATTATTCGAGCATTCCGTTCCGCAAGCTATTTATTCGAGTCGTCAAGATGAAATGTTAATTGAACGAATTGCAAACGCACGGGAAGCAACATTGGCAAATCAACTGGTTGAAGATATGGCAGAATTGCTTCGTTCGCCTGGGCAATGGGAGACAGATTCGCGATGTGTTAGGTATATGTCGATGTGTATACCGATCCTACAAAGTCGTGCGAGATCCAAATGACGCTTGTTGTTATTGCTGATAACACTGTACGAGTTTAAGAATCGCGCCGGCGAACGAGAGATTGGGCCAATAAATTGAACGAAAGTGAAAAGAATTTCCATCGTCCCGTCGAAAATTGCACAATCTTCCTTCACCTTGGATTATTGCGGCGAAATTTTACCAAATCACAAGTTAAAAATTGCTAATTGATTCTTTCCGAGAATATAGACTTTTTTATTGTTAGAATAAGCCAAGTCGTGTCAATAATTTTTTTCTTATAAGGTAAAATTTTGTAATAAATAATATTAGTACTATATATCTACTATTACTATATATCTATTACTATATATCTATACATTATATATCTACTATTACTATATCAATACTAATATCACTATATCAATATTATATTATATTAATAATAATATTAATAATATTGTATTATATTAAGAATAATATTACTATATTATTACAATAATATATTATGCTACTGTAATAAATAATAATTGTAATAAATATTATAAAAAGATAGTAGTAGAAAATTTCGAGACATGCAAGCACTCTCCAACTTTTCTTGATACGTTCAATGAAAAAATATCAACTTATTATATAGAAATAGGTGACAATTATTAAAAAGTACTAAGAAATCGGTAAATTTCGAATAACCGGCAAATCGTACACGGTATTTACGTATTATTGTAGAAGGATATACGTTTCGCGACACAAACAATACTGATTTAGAGATCGAACATCCTAGTCTCCCTATTATTATATTAACTTTGAAATCCGATGTTATATGTCGATTTATTCGTCAATAAAGTTTACCATTTAGTGTTTGGTATTTAGTATTAGCAGAACATAACGTTCGAATCTACAGAGCAGAACGATCTAATCGATAAATATTAATAAAATAATATTAAACACTAAATATTAATAAAATAATATTAAACACTAAATATTGAATAGTATAAATTTTGAATAAACGAACATAACACGGAGATTCAAATTCAATACAATAAATACGGGGCCTGATAATCTAACAAGCACGTTTCCTGAAGTTTAGTACAGAAACAGAAATTTCGATTTCGCGTGGAACAAATTTTACGTCGAGTTAAGCCTCGCGAACTTTGAATTAAAAAACTTTAAGATACTACGAAGAAATTGTCTTGAAATTTAGAAATTTACTTTAGCTACTATGGAATTTCGACTTCACATGAATCTTGAAACAAATACAGCGTGTTACGAACGCTTATATATCTTTATTACAATGTCTGCATAAATGATTGACATTTTTTCCATAGAAGATCTTTCACGTTTCGACATGTGAATTTATATTACACGTAGAAACTGATCAATTGACTATTATAAATATATAATTATAAATATATAACGGGGAAGATTTTGAAGAAAAAATCACGGAGAGAAGTCGGAGAAGCTGGAGCAGTTTCGGCTTTAAATACGTCTCTCCGCAGTCTAGATACGGTGAACAATGTAAACACGGTAACAGACGAGCAAACATCTAATTGCTCTCAAATATTTGTGAGATAATCTCCCGTCCTCTTGCTTGTCGCCTCCATTTTCAACCGGACCAACGAAACTAAGAACGCTACTCTTTCCAGTCTACCCAGTACATTACTACATAAATTACAAAAGATCTTCCTTCGAATTTTGTCTGTGACACGTAGGCGCTCGCGGAAATGTTTGAACGTTTCTAGAAACTTGCAAGAGGCACAATTAGCATTGAGGATTCTTATGAAAATGGTTCCTCCACTTTTATATATCTAATTCGTATAAAATACAAATTGGACAATAGCGGAGATTTCAAAGTGTAAAAGTATCAAACGCCTACAGTGTTTTGTTGTGACATTCTATTTTTCTTTTCAAATTTATTCGAAAAGTTTCACATTCGTAAAAATTTTCTATCATGTGAACTGTCTGTTTATACGTTACAAACTACTGAACTTTTGTTGTTAAATTAAAATTGCAGATTCGCAGAGTCACGCTTTGCGTTTTCTATAATTCGCGTGTGTTTGAATTGTTTCGGTAAATCTCTCTCCGTGCTAATTCTTCACGTACAATTTATCGTTTGTGCTCCTTCTTGCGTACTGTATGTACGTGTATATACCGATAAATAAGATTTATGGCTTCTACAGAAAAATCAAAAGACGGGGGAAAGAGTAGAAAAGGGAGAAGGGATTTGTCTAATATAATTTCACGACGAAACTATCTGTAGTGACAAAGTTACTGTAGATTATATTTAGACGAATATTTTCTATTCTTACAGCATGCGACATAACTACGAAGTACAATATACATGATAATCCGAAGATTTACGAGCTATATAACAACACCGATGGTACGAATTACGAATAACAAATTGATGTTGTTACATTGTGTCATCTTATTTTATATATATCGTTAATTAGTAACGAATGCGATCGAGTATTTCTTCTAAAATCCTGTGTAAATATTTTCAAAAAAAAAGGAAAAAGAGGACAATACGATTCTTTACTTTGTCTTTCCGTAAACAGTCATAAAAAAACAAAGAAAAAAAGAAAAAAGGTTTCTCGGTAGAATTTATCCTCAGAATTCTAAATTTCTAAAACTTTTAAACGCTAAAATTCTAAAGCTCTAGAAAGAGTAGTATTCCATTGTTGATTTTACTACATATAAAATTTTTATTCTAAAATCGATTTCAAAGCAATTGATGTCTTACATTTCGCTAAAAATCGCAATAAAATATAAAGATGCCACTTTAGAGCCGAAAGAATTATGTTTCACGAAGGAATTGGATAATTCAGATTTATGCAGAATGTTTAGAAGAAATTTTAATTTTGATTTCAATCTCTTTTATCCATCTGTAGATTGCCCCGTGGTGTGCATATCTTTCGTACGTGTAACGTACATGTTCGTGTCGTTGTAACGCAAAATGTTACAGACATTATAAACATATCCGATTGTCAGTTTCCATCATTTCATATTCGTACGATACGAACATTGACGATGACATTATTGCATGGTATAATGATTTTATATGAACTGCATGAAACGCTGATTTATACGCAAATGATCGAAATGTTTTCTACAGTATGCAGCACGATTGTTTCTGCATGATGCCAACATTGTGTGGCATTTATTACCGAAATGAAAATTGATTACCGTAAAGTTCGTAACTTTTGATCAAATTTGATCAGTCGTTCGAATTTATGCCAAAGAAATCGAAGGGAAATCAAACTATTAATATTTAAATTAATTATAAATTAAATTTATATAAATAAATGATTAATGCCAACAAATCATAAAAATATTGGTATTTTATACACAATACTTGCTTTATGATATTATTGGATCATCTTTCAGAATATTAATTCGAATAGAACTTAATAGGCCAGGAATATGAATTAATAATGATCAAATTTACAATTCTTAATAATTTCCTCTTTTATTGTTATACCATTTGTAACTGGAGGATTTGGAAATTTTTTAATTTCCATTAATATTAGGTTCTCCCGATATAGCATCGATAACAATCGAAACTATCACGATTGAGGATCGCGAGACACAAGACACTGCATTTCCTTGATTTCACCCTCTTCGTCTCTTTCACGAGCCGCCGTGACCTTTCAATACCTTCCACTGGCTATTATCTCCGTTTTATGGTTATATTGCATGCAGTCGGGTGTCTCCTCACACGGACGAGTCTCAATATTATATGTATTCGCGTTCTCTCTCTCATCGCCGCGCGATTTTTCCACGCGATTATTAGTTATAGTTGGCACGCTGGCTTCGGAACGACCGCGTTTCTCGCTCGAGTCGCATCGACGGCACGGAAACGCGTTTTCACCCGTTTTTATTACTGGCGCCATTTTGACCGCGTCTGGCAAGAAACTACGGCGTCCTCCAACAAAGATATTCTCGCGGAAATGGAATCTAACGTGGCGATCTCGGTTCCAGAGTTGCAAAATTTCATAACAAGGAATTTAAAAAAAACAAGTGCTTGCAATTGTGTTGTCGACGCGATCTTTGGAAATTTCTGAAAAACTCAACTGCTACTCTAATTGCTAACTCTAAGTAAATTCTGTGTCCTTGGTGAAATTAAAAAGAAAAAAAACTTGACTGACAAGCGCGAGACTTTACCGTGACTTATTGAAGTCATTTTGCGAGTCTCACGAACGTAGAAATAAATGTCAGTTTAATGTCAATAATTCACAGAAGGAACAGTTAATCCGGGAACAATAGATATTTCGAGTTATCGAGAAGAAATTTTGTCGATGCTTTTGTATTTACAGAGACGTATATGTTTATAAAGGGAGAGAGAGAGAGAGACTACATGCAGAGCAAAGTTAAAACGCAAATACTAAAATCGAAACGACTGTTTGCCGATTTCAATTGATGTATTGTACTACCTGTTTGCCGACCGAGACCAAATGAAACTGAATAAATCCTACACAAAGGAACGAACTATTGTTTAGTCTTGTTTAGTTGAAACTGTCAAGAAACATTAGGAAGCAGACCTTCATTAGCTTCGGCAGATTAATCAGCAGTTAGTTTTGATTTTCTGGCAAAATGAATCATCAGCCTACAGAATTCATCGATTTTGCAGGGAAAATTTCAGAGGGTATTTGTCGAAGAGACCTCTCGACACGTTGTCAAACGATCGGTGCATATTTGTCAAGATCAGAGT